GAGAAATGAGCAATCAAGCCACGAAAAGACAGAGGAAACTTAAATTCATATCATGAAGGGAAAGAAACCAATTTGAGGGGGCCAGGGATTTAGCTCAGTGGCACTGCACTTGCCTCACAAGTGCAAGGTCCTGAGTTCAAATTCCTGGTACCAAAAAAAATAAAAAGAAAGAAAGAAAAAGAAAAGAAAGAAACCAATCAGAAGGATGGGGATGTAGTTCAATGACAGAATACATGCTCAGCATACACAAAGCCCTTGGTTGATCTGAAGCACTGCAAAAAATAAATAAATAAAATCACTGAGTTACACTCTCAGTCCTTCATTTCTTTTTTCTTCACTTTTTTTTTTTATATCAAACTCAGGACCTTGCACTTGCAAGGCAAGTGTGGTGCCATTGAGCTAATTCCATAACCCTTCACTTTTTTTTTTTGTACCTGGGATCAAACTTGGGCCCTTGCACTTGCAAGGCAGGCGGTAGAACTGCTGAGCTAAAAAATCCCCAGCTTTTTTTTTTTTAATGAATTGTCACTATGTTATCCAGACTGGTCTTGAACTGGTGGGATTAAGCAATCCTCTTGCCTCAGCCTCCCAAGTAACTGGGGCTACAAGGATATGCTCAGAATTTGCAAAAAAGAAATTTCCTTTATAAAATTATAGTGCACAGACTGAGGATATAGCTCAGTGGCAGAGCACTTGTCTAGTTTGCTTAAGGCCATGTGTTTGATTTCCCAGCACTAAAAATACAAAAAAGAAAAAAAAAGTTTAGGGAAATCTTTGTGACACTGGATTTGGAAATAATTTCCTGAATATGATAGCAAAAGCAGAGGAAACAGAAGAAAAAATAGATACCTTAGTCAGAACTAGAAACTTTTGTGCAACAAAGAACATTATCAAGACAGTGAAAAGCCAGGCACAATGATATAAGCTTATACTCCCAACTCCTCAGGAGCCTGAAGCAGGAGGATCATTTGAGCTCAGGAGTTATAAGCCAGCTTGGGCAACACAGCAAGACTCTATCTCCAAAAAAAAAAAAAAGTGAAACACAAACTAGAGAATGGGAGAAAATATTTGCAAAGTATGCATCTGATAAAAGTTACATAAATATCCCTTAACTATAAAATACATAAACACATCTAATTCAAAAATGCAAAAAAGGCTTGGACAGTTCTCCAAGAAGATATACAAAAGGTTAATGAGCACAGGAAAAGATGCTTTGCATCACTAGTCATTAGTGAAACGCTAATCAAAATCACAGTAGTATACCATTTCATACTCACTAGGATGGTTATTATAAAAATTTTTATATTGGGCAAGGGATTTAGCTCAGTGGTGCTGTGCCTGCCTGGAAAACACAAGGTCCTGAGTTTGATCCCCGGTACCCCAAAAAACAGAAACTAAGAGACTCAGATACAGTATTTTTATACCAACATGCACAGCAGCATTATTCACAATAGTCAAAAGATAGAAAAAACTCAAATGTTGAGATGGGGATTTAGCTCAGTGGTTCTGCTGCCTGCCTCTGAAGTACAAGGACCCGGGTTTAATCACCGGTACCCCCCAAAAAACTTAAATGTTGATAAATAATGAGTGGATAACAAAACACAGTAAATGTATATAGTGCAGAAGTATGTAGCTATAAAAAGTGATGAAATTCTGATATAGTAAATGATCCAACACAGATAACCCTGAAAATGTTATGCTAAGTGAATCCAAACACAAAAGATTACGGTATAAACCCACTTACATGAGGTACTTAGAATAAGCAAATTCACAGAAACAGAAATTAGAATGGAAATTACTAGGGGCTAGGTAAAGGGGGAAATGGTGAGTCAACATTTAATGGCACAGACCTGGGTGTGGTGATGCACACCTGTGATCCCAGCATTCAGGAGGCTGAGACAGGAGGATCACTTTGAGTCTGAAGCCTGCCTGCACAAGGTCCCGAGTTCAATCACCAGTACACACACACACACAAACACACACACACACCAAAAAACAAACAAACAAACAAACAAACAAAAATATATATATATAAAATGGTACAGAGTTTCTGTTTGGGATGATAGAAATGTTCTGAAAACAGGTAACACAGCTGCACAGTACTGTGAATGGAATTTATGCCATTGAACTATACACTTAGAAATGGTAAATTTAGCTGGGCATGGTGGCACACAACTGCAATCTCTGCACTTAAGAGGCTGAAGCAGAAGGATTGTCACAATCCTTGGAGGCCATCCTGGGCTGAACTACATAGTAAGACCCTGACTCAAAAAAAAAAATGCAAGTGTATGTTATGTGCATTATATCACAGTAATTTTTTGTGGGGGGGGGGTTGAGACAGGGTCTCACTATGTAGTTGAGACTGACCTGGAACTCACTATGTAGCCCAGGCTGGTCTCAAACTCACAGCGATTCTCCTGCCTCAGCCTCCCAAGTGCTGGGATTACAAGGCGTGCACCACCAGGCCCGGCCACAGTAATTTTTTTGTTGTTGTATTGTTTTATTTCTTATTGGGGGGGGGTTGTTTTTGTTTTTGGTACCAGAGATTGAACTCGGGATCTTGTTCTTGCAAGGCAGATGGCAGAAGCATTGAGCTAAATCCCCGGCCCTCACAGTAATTTTTTTTTTTAATGCTCTGCATTTTACAACAATTAAAATCCTTGCATTTGTGAGGTGGGCAGCAGCACTACTAAGCTAAATCGCCAGCCACAGTAATTTTTTTAGAGAGAGAGAGAGACTAGGAATAAGGAGCTGGAGATGGTACATGGAGACAATTTTGTGGAGTCATTCTGGTCCAAAAGGCAACAAGACGTGGAAAAGTACAGCAAAAGGGAATATTCAAAATAAGCTCTTTTTTTCATTAAAAGAATATTTTTCAGGTATGGATGGGAATCATTTCGTAGAAAGTGAAAATATAGGAAAGACGGGAGAATTTCTTAAGTAACTAGCGAGGAAATGGACACAGGAATTATAATTCCAAGGGGAAGAAGGACTCAGGCCATGGCCAGTGCATCCACGATGACGAGGCAAAGGCTGAGCAGATGCGTGAAGCGGAGAGGCCGTAGCTCTCTGTAGCAATGGGAGTCTGTGGGATTCTCTTCTGCATCCTTTGGTTCTCTCAGTGAATTAGAAAGAAAGCTCCCCACTGAAAATGAGGTCTATAGAGGAATACGGGAATTTGATGAGAGAAGAAAAAGTATGAAATAAGCTGGGAGAATGAACGAACTGGAGAAATATGACTGTTTGAGAGTACTAAGGACTCTATATAAAAAAAACAAACAAGCAAGCAGACAAGCTGTGAGCAGTGGCACTTGCCCATAGTCCCAGCTTCCCGGGAGACGGAGGCAGGAGGGTTGCTCCCAACCAGAAGGGTAGCTCCAAGTCACAATCAGATGGTCTCGAGTAAATAAGTACATACGTACGTACATGTGAATAAACATTATACATACAAACAGGCTCAGGAAATAGCTTAGACGCAGACAGTGTGTGTTTAGCAAACATGAGGCCTTGGGTTTGATCTTCAGCATAAAATAAGCAAGCAAAAACTATCACGTACATGTGTGTATGTTCACATACAAATATATGTAATTTATATATACATATGTGTGTGTATAAATACAGAAAAGGGTCCAGAAACATGTACAACAAATGGCCAATAGTGATTATTGGAGAGAATACACACACACACACACATACATAGATATGTTCATATGTGAGGGAGACCAAGGTAAGAGAAGCACCTATTTTCTTTAACTTTTTGTAGACAATATGATTATATATTTGGAACAACCAAAATAACTGAAAAACCATAAACCAAGGTCTGGGGATGTAGCTCAGTGATGCCAGGCCTGCCTTTTTGTGCAAGGTCCTGAGTTCAATTCCTGGTACCAAAAACAAAAACAAAAGCAACAAAAAAAAACACCATTGCAAAATTCAACAAAATAAATATAATCTAAATAAATCTTGTATATTCTTTATTTTTATTTATTTATTTGTACTGGGGATCCAACTTGTGCTTGCCAGGCAGGCATGGTGCCACTGAGCTAAACTGCTGGCCCAGTATAGTCTTTAAATTTTTATCAGCCTGGTTTAGTTTGAGTTTTTGTTGTGCTGTTGTTGTTCACACTTTCCATCACTTCCATTGCTTTAATCTGTGCTAGGTTATCATAATTTTTTGTTTTTGCTTTGTTTTCTTTTTGGGGGGACCAGGGATCAAACTTGGGTCCTTGTGCTTGCAAAGCAGGTGCTGGAACCACTAAGCTAAATCCCCAGCCCTTTTTGCTTTGTTTTCTGAGGCAGAGTCTCACCATATTGTCCAGGCTTCCTTCCTCTTGCCTCAGCCTCAGGAGGCCCAGGATCACAGGCTTGTACCACTGCACCCGATAGTAATGTTCCTTCTTTTTTTTTATTTTTTTGGTACCGGGGATCAAACTTGGGTCCTTGTGCTTGCAAGGCAGGCGGTGGAACCACTGAGCTAAATCCTGGCCCGAGTAATGTTCCTTCTTACATGCATCAAAACGCACACTGAACAATGAGTTCTGGGCTGCAAAAGAGGATTTTTTTTTTTTTTTTTTTGCACCTCTTCATTAAGTCTTAGTCTACAAAAGCCTGGCTTAGTTTAGTTTGTAGTATTGGAGATTGAATTTAAGGCTTTCACACTGAGCTACATCCCCTACCCTTTATTCTTTTATTTTGAGACAGGGGCATGCTAAGTTACTAAATTGTCGGGGCTGTGCTCAAACTTTCAATTTTCCTGCCTCAGCCTGCCAGAATGCTGGTATTACAGATGTGCACCACACTTGATACAACATATATTATTTTTATAATTAAAACAAAATTATCTCACAAGTTAAGAAAGAGCTTGTAAAGTTTAAAGCAGTGTTCAAGATTCAGAGCACTTTGACTAGGCAAAATCTGTGTTCTATTTAAACACAATTATTAACACTTCAGTGAATCAGACATTAGCAAGACAATATGAAAACTGCTGAGGAATCACTCACCTTGAACACTTCAGAGAAGAAGCCAGACCCTATTTTTTCACAGGCAAAGTCATCCAAACGTGTCAGTCTGGAAAAGGCACTTATAAGAGCTCGATATGAAGATGGCCAAACTCTTCCCACCTGGATTGTGTTCCCATCCCCTCCGCCACCTCCTTCAAACTCTTCAAGACGCTCCACTCGGGGAGGAAATCCTGCAATTGAATTCCGCTTGCTCCGATCCATAATCCAGTAATCACTTTTTTCTTCTTTTTAAGAAAGAACTTCACACATAGTAAGTTTTTGTTGAATTTTACTTCTCTTCCAGTTTGACACTAAACAAGAGAGAAAAAAGTCCATTAAAACAGTAAAAAAAATACATGCAAATCAAAGAAGTACCCATGTAAAAATATTTCCTTTCACATTCTATCTCTTAATATTCATTATCTAAAAAATATTTTCAGGGCCGGGGACTTATCTCAGTGGTTCTGCTGCCTGCCTTACAAGCACAACCTCCTGAGTTCAAGCCCCGGTACCAAGAAAAGAAATGGCCTTGCAATCAATCTTCCTGCCTCAAGTTCCAGAGTATGGCTGCATTATAATTTTATTTATTTATTTATTTATTTTGAGACAGGGTCTCCCTATGTAGTTGAGACTGACCTGGAACTCACTATGTAGCCCAGGCTGGTCTCAAACTCACAGCAATCCTCCTGCCTCAGCCTCCGGAGTGCTGGGATTACAGGTGTGCGCCACCACGCCCGGTTTAATTTTTATTTCTTTTTAAAAATAATTTTATGGGGCTGGGGATTTAGCTCAGCGGTTCAGTGGCCTGCCTTGCAAGCGCAAGGACCCGAGTTCGATCCCCAGCACCAAAAAAAAAAGGAGATGGAGGAGGAGTGGAGAAGATTTAGTTCCGGTTTAGTGGCCTGCCTTGCAAGCGCAAGGACCCGAGTTCGATCCCCAGCACCAAAAAAAAAAGGAGATGGAGGAGGAGTGGAGACAGGGACAGTGAGCAAGAGAAAGTCTTGATTTTCCTATTATGCTATAGCTCCAAATTCTGAGGCCTGACTGCATTCTGGCTTAAGGTTCTCTGAAATATTCACTTTAAAATAAATGATCTTTGCTTAAACTAGTTCTATCAGTCTTCACAGAAAAAATAATCCAAGCTCCCAAAGAATAAAAACATATAATATCTCTATTAAAAATGTGCCAGCTCAGTGGTTCCACTGCGAGCCTCACAAGCACAGGTCCTGAGTTTGATCCCCAGTGGGGGCGAGGAGGAAGGAGGGGGGAGAATCTGCCAAAAAGTAACATTAGGAGCGCTAAATCAAAAATCTAAGGTCACAGGAACAAAACTTTGAGGCCAGTAGAGATCATAGAGTACAGTCACTTATTTTATATTTGAGGAAACACAAGGCTCCTAAAGTAGAAATGCTCAACAGGTATGATGGCATACACCTAGGCAAGCTGAGGCAGAAGAATCACAGAGAGTTCGAGGCCAGCCTGGGCTATATAGTGATTCCAAGGTCAGCCTGAACTACATAGCAAAACCCTGCATCAAAAAAAAATTTTTATAAGATAGGAATGCTATAAATAAATGTTATAAACTATTAACAAAGCTAGCCTTAGAACCAAGGAACCAAAGCACTGCATTTCTCAAGGTATGTCTATTGATCATTCACTTCAAAATTACCTGAGGAGACTGTTTAAAACCCAGCGCTCTAGCTGGGCATACTTGTAATCCCAGTACTCTCAGAAGAGAATATAGGATCATCAAGTTCAAGCTTAGCCTGGGTGACTCAGCAAGACCCTGTCTGTTGCGGTTTGTGTCTAGATGTCCCCCCAAAGCCTCATGCAGTCATAGGGCTTTTTCAGAAGTGGCTGAATCTAGAGTGTGTGATGCTGGGACTAAGGGTATCTGATTACTAAATCAGTCCACTGATTGATTTGGCACCACCCCAATCCTGGTAGTCTGGATAAAATTGCTAAGGTCCCCTGTTGCTCTTGCTACTTATGGGCACTTCTCCTCTGTGATGCCCCTCTGCCATGTGGCACCTTGCCTTGGAGCCAGCTGATTATGGACTGAAACCTCTACAAATTGTCAGCTAAATAAACTCTTTCCTTTTAACTATGGGTGTCAGGTATTTTGTCTCAACAAGAGAAAAGTAACTAAGATACTGTCTCAAAATAAAAAATATAAAAGTTCAGTATGAAGGTCCTGGGTTCAATCCCTAGTACCAAAAAAAAAAGAGAGTTCTGGGACTTACCAATGATTACTAAATCACTTGGGGTGAAGCCTGGAAGTCTGAGCTCCACAGTGATTGCTACACATACTAAGAACTGACGATTCTATACAGGAGGAAAGTGGAATATTAATAGTTTTGGTTTTTTTTAAGCACCAGGAACTTTACTAGCATGTTCTCCTTTAATCCTCAAAACATATCACCAAAGCAGGTCTGCTCACCATTGCGAGTGGAGCAGACTATTGCTGGACACTGAAGCCAGGGCCTCACACATAGGAGGCAAGCAAACACTCTACCACTGAGCAACATCTCCAGTTTTGGTTTTTTTTTAAACAGGGTCTCACTAAGTTGTTCAGCCTGGACTCAAACTTGTGATCTTCCTGCCACATCCTCCAGAAATGTGATATTCACTTTACAGAAAAAGAAAAGTAGGCTCATGGTTTTAAGTAACCTGTCCAAGCACACACACCTGTAGAACAAGGCTTGAAACTAATGTCTACCCAGCCCCAAGGCTTAGAATTTTTCCATCATTACTTAGTTCAGTGTTTTTCCATATGAGTTGTAAGGAGTTAAACTGGTCACCTGGGTAGAAAAGAGGACAGAGATAAAGTAGAGAAGACAACCAGGTTGATTATAACTTGGGTGGAGACAGAAAAGAAGGAAAAAAACTTGAGAAAAATAAACCATATTAACATGAAACTGAATACATAAAACATAGCTGCGTGCTAAATTAACTGTCCACTTCAACAGGTCTGTCATCTACTGACTTAGTAGTACAGGGAACTGCAACCAGGAGCACTCTTCCTCTGAGATATACTCTCAGCCCTTTTTACTTTGTTTTGAGACATGGTCTTGCTAAATTGTCCACAACAGCCTCCAACTTAAGATCCTCCTCCTCCTCAGCCACCTTAGTAGCTGGCTTGCATGTGGTTTTCCACCCACCCAGGACCATCTAGTACTGACTTTCTCATTGTTTGAGATTCAGTTTATTTTTAATGAAATACATTATTAATCTCCTCAATGCCCTCAGGGTTAATGGGGATGCCAGGTCCTAGTTCTCTACACTAAAGCATGGAAGACAAAATTGTTGCAGCTCAACGGTCTGGTTTTACATTCTCAGGTGGGCAGAAGGAGGTAAGAAATTGCTAATTACAACTGAACTGGTTTGATAGGAATCCTGTTACAAGTTTTACAGTAGCATAATTGAATGACAATTTTGACATAATTTCAAAAATAAATAACATCGAATCTTTGCTCACAGCATTTTTCAAGAGGAAAAAAACCTATTTTTTAAGTTGTACCCTAAGAGAACTCCTGCTGCTAAGTAATAGGAAACCTAAACAAGAAAATTCATTTCATTTTAGCATGGTATGTAATGGAGTGAGGGAGGCGACAAGCGGAACTTCATCTGTAGGAACACAGATTGAACTATATACAGCAGTTACATAAATAAATTCCATATAACAATGACACAGTATCTAATGACATAAATGAATTATATCTAGCAGTGTGGATATATTTCAATAGCAATGTTCGGGGAGGGACAGCAAGTTTAGTGGGTGGTATGGTTAAAATTTAATTCAAGCCAGGCCGAGCATGGTGACGTACACCTGTAATCCCAGCACTTGGGATGCTGAGGCAGGAGGATCGCTGTGAGTTCGAGACTAGCCTGGGCTTCAGAGAGAGTTCTAGGTCAGTCTCAACTACATAGTGAGACCCTGTCTCAAACAAACAAACAAACAAAATTTAATTCAAGCCACCCCTCACGCCCCAGCACTAGGGACAGAGCTACACCCCAGCCAGTTGAGACAGGATCTTACTAAGCTTTTACACTGCATAGGCTCAGCTGGAACTATACTATAATCTACATCACCACACACAGTTCAAAAAAGCTTTTAAACTGTCATGGTGGCACACACTTCAGCTAGTCAGGAGGCTGAAAAAGGAGGATTTCAAGTTCAGCCAGCTTAGGGAGACCCTGCATTTTTTAAAAAATTGTTTAAGGAGTTAAGGATATATCTCAGTAGTAGTATCACTGCTTTAATCCCTAATACTAACACAAATAATTTATTTAAATTACAAAAAAAATGCACAATCCCCCGCCATAGTATACTATATGGACTTCAAAATAAACAATTGGAGTTCAATTTTTGCTCCATTAATCTGCAGTTTTATGAACCCAGACATCTATTTAACTTTGCTATATTTCCAGTTACCCAACTAGAAATAAAAACAGTAGATACCCAGTGGTAGAGCATTTGCCTAGCATGCACAAGACCCTGGGTTCAATCCCCAGTACTAAAAACAAAAACAGCACCTACATTATACTATTTTATATATTAACTCATTCAATCTTTATAGCAACCATAGTGTTATTGATTAGATTAATAGCACCTGGTAAGCAGTAAATCTTCAACTCCTGTCATAAAAGAAATTTATAGTGATACTTCAAAGCATGAACTAAAAAGATGATACATTTATAGTGTAATTGTGTTGGTGTTGGTGAGAAAAGGTAGGAAAACAAAAGGAATTTCAACTACAGCAATAATCTTTTGTTTCCTTTTATTAAAAAATAAACCCGGGCCAGGGGTTTAGCTCAGTGTTTCCGGCGCCTGCAAGGTCCCGAGTTCGAACTCTAGTACCAAAAAAAAAAAAAAAAAA